CTGGTCGTCCAATGTCAACCGTGAATCCAGGAGAACACCCAAGTTGCGGACCCGATCTGAGGGGGCCAAAGTTTCGCCCCCTATAGTCAGCGATGGAATCAGCTGACTATGCCGAGGCGCTGGAAGCCATAGCCACTCGGTCTTGGACGGGTTGAGTCTGAGTCTGTTCCTCCCCATCCAGACCCTCACGGCCTCCAGACACCGGGTCATCACGTCAAGGGCATCGTTGGGGTGGCCCGGGGTGGATATGTACAGCTGAGTGTCGTCAGCGTACTGATGGAAATCCACCCCGAAGCCACGGATGATCTCCCCCAGCGGCTTCACATAAATATTGAACAGAAGTGGAGAGAGGACCGACCCATTGCAGCATTCTTTACCCCCCCTCTCCCCCCGGTCGTCCAATGGAGCAAAACTCACTTAACAGCTGTCTTGCTTAGCGACGGAAAGTTCGGGCTCAATTTTTTGTTGTATGTCGAGGACTGGCCCATCTGCAGATCTCTGCAGAGTAAATAGTCCTCCACTTACGACCTATTGCTTAGCAACTGTTTGAAGTTACAACGGAGCCCCCCCCGAGCCAGATTCAAAGTTACGACGGCCGCTGCACGATCCCAATTTAGACGCTTAGCAACCGATCCGGATTTACGGCCGTTTGCCCGCATCCCACAGTTGTGACAGCGATGCGACGACATTCTTGGCTGGAGATGGGTAAATGGGCAAAAAAAAATCACCCATTCTGAACAATGGGGTTGTGGGGGTTTTTTTTTTTTTTTTTTTTTACTTAATGGCTGCAATGCTCACTTAACGACGGTGGATTCGCTTAACGGCCACCATAAAAAAAGAATGTCATACAATCAGGTCTCTGGTTAGGCTTAATGGCCGATAGGACTGACAACCGTCATTCCAGGCTCAATTCGTGGCGTAAGTGGAGGATTAGCTGTAATAAGGGGAGGGGGCCTTTGTCCCCCCGAGCGAAGAAGAGAGGGGTCCGCGATGGTCTCTGAGCTGGGTGGTTTTCTTGCAGACGTTTTGTGACCCAACTAGGGATCATTATCAGTGATGGAAGGGAGGGAGGGAGGAGGAGGAGGAGAAGAAGAGGAGGGACTGTGGAGTCCTTGGTGGTCTCTGAGCTGGGTTGTTTTCTTGCAGACGTTTCGTGACCCAACTAGGGAACGTCATCAGGGCTAAATATTTGCAAATACCTCTCCCTTCTAGCCCTGATGGTGTTGCCTAGTTGGGTCACGAAATGTCTGCAAGATATCAGCAAGCTCAGAGAGCACCAAGGAGCCCACAGTCCTTCTCTTCGTCCCCCTTTTCCTCCTCCGCCTCCTCCTCCCTGCAACCCCCACTCTCTCCTAGCACTGATGGTGTTCCCTAGTTGGGTCATGAGACGTCTGCAGGAAAACCACTCAGCTCAGGGACACCACCCCCCCCCAGTTCAACCTGGAGCTGCAAATATTGAATTCAGAGAATAAACCCTGTTTGTGGGTTCTCCGTTTATCCGGAGCGTCTTTTCCGCCTTCTCCCAATCCCGGGGAATCTCAAACCAGGGTTAGTTTCAGCCGCTCTGCATTTCTCTCGGAGAAACTTGGTCCCGTGTTCGCCTTCCCACGCTCATCTCCCCCCCCCCGAGCTGTGTCGATCCATCTCTGCCTCCCCTTCCTCTCCCAAATTGAGGGGGGGGCAGTTTCGGTGTTGGCTGCTCTGCTTCCTCTCCTAAGCCTGCTCCCCCCCCACCTCGAGAGATCTCCCCCTCCCCAACATGGTCTCAGGGCGCCTTTTCCACCCCATAGAACAGGGGTCTTCCAACGTGGCCCTCTTTATGACTTGTGGACTTCAACTCCCAGAATTCCTCCGCCGCCGTGCCTGGCTGAGGAATTCTGGGAGTTGAAGTCCACAAGCAGGGGTCTTCCAACTTGGCCCTTTGATGACTGGTGGACTTCAACTCCCAGAATTCCTCAGCCAGCGTGCCTGGCTAGGGAATTCTGGGAGTTGAAGTCCGCAAGTCATCAAAGGGCCGAGTTTGAAGACCCCTGCCCTAGAAGAGACCCAGCCCAGCCGGATGGGAGCAGGACCCTTGCCCCCCCCCCTCCCCAGCTGGTATCTCCCCTGCCTTTCTGACCCGCCACGGTCTCCCTCTGCCAGGTGCTCCGCCAGTGCCGTCCAGCCGCCTCTGCCCCTGCCGTTGACGCCCAGCCATGGTGCTAATCTGGGGCAGTACAGCAAAGGCTACTATGCCCCCGGGTGAGTCCTGCGCCCGGCCTTTGGGGCCCACCCACCCTATTTTGCATGGGGGGGGAAGGAGGAGGAACAAAGGGCTGCCCTGGAAGATCAAGACCCCCCCCCCATAGTTTGCATCTGGGGAAAGGTGCAGGCAGACCACGCCCCCGAGCACTGATGGTGTTCCCTAGTTGGGTCATGAGACGTCTGCAAGGAAACGCCCAAGCTCAGAGAGCCCCAAGGACAGTGGTTCTCAACCTTTTTAATGCCGCGACCCCAACTGGTCGTAAGTCGAGGACTAAACCGGTCGTAAGTCGAGGACTAAACCGGTCGTAAGTCGAGGACTAAACCGGTCGTAAGTCGGGGACTACCCAACCGGTCGTAAGTCGAGGACTTTCCCTGCCCGGGAGCGCCGCGCATGCGTGGTTCCGCCCCCTGCGCCAGCCGAGCCGTAGCTGGCAAGCAGCAGAGACGGAGCAGGCCGACCAACAGCTGGCCCAGCCCAAGGGAGGTAAGGCGCCCGCCGGAAAAGGGGGAAAAAATGGCCAAGGACCTACAGTTCTCCTCCTCCTCCTCCTCCCTTCCAGCACCGATGATGTTCCCTAGTTGGGTCATGAAACGTCTGCAGGAAAACCACCCAGCTCAGAGAGCACCAGGGACCCCACAGTCGTCTTCCTCCTCCTCCTCCTCCTCCTCCTCCTCTTCCTTCCTTCCTTCCTTCCTTCCTTCCTTCCTTCCTATCCTTCTCCACATCCTCTCTGCAGACTCCCTTCCCTTCCAGCACTGATGGTGTTCGCTAGTTCGGTTGTGAAATGCCTGCAAGAAAACCACCAAGCTCAGAGAGCACCAAGGACCCCACAGTTCTCCTCCTCCTCACCCTCTCCTCCTCCTCCTCCTCCT